CAATTGCTTCAAATGATAAGTTCTGGCAAGATGTGGTCCAACATGCCAGTGGAAATAAAGATTTAAAAAAATAAAATCAGTTGACCTACTCTGTAAATGTAGTAATTATCTCTTATACTAAATTCCAAACATGGTAAGACTGAAGTAATAGAATTACCAGCAGAAGGTCCACCCTAAATTCTTTAAGAACAGATAAATAAATATTATTCACATAAAATTTCCATTTAAAAAATCTTTAAAAATTTTAGTCACTGTCCAAATGTATTTTCTATCTCCGTTATCACAGATGCAGTCTTAGAAAATGTTATCAATGCTTATTCAGAAAATTCTTTTTATTAAGACACCAAGCAACTTTAAACATAAAGCAGTGTGATTTATTCTGTAGTACTATAATGGAAAGATGGCCCTGAGGTACAACAAAATAGTCATGCACCTTCTAAATCATCAGAGCACAACTGTATTCACCTCAGCAGTGTTTTAGTACTAAGGGTATTTTTAATGAAAACGAAATCTCCGAAAATTTGACAGAGATGGAATATCTCAATAACAACACTTAACCAATCAAAACATTGAAATAGTGATGTTAGAGATAGAGAAAAAACTACAATTTAAGCAAAAGTACTCATGGGTCTTAAGAAAGTGATCTACCAAAATAAATAAATTTATAAAAGTGTAATTTTAGGGTAATCTGTATGCCAGGCCTCAAAAATACGGTACAAAGAAAAAGTTGACTTAACTAAGCTCCAAAAAAAGCGAGGCCTAGTTCTCATTCTATTTTGGAATTATTTAACATTTTAAAATGCAGTATGTAACCAGTTCTATTTTCTTACACACACACACACACACACACTCTCTCTCTCTCTCTCTCTCTCTCTCTCTCACTCACTCTCGAGACCTATCACTTGATATCTACCATGTAGATGGGGTTCCTGTAGGTTCTGCAGTTCTGTTTCTGTAGCCAAGGAGCTCTCAGAGAGAGATTTAGAATTCCCAACATATATTCAATTAAGAGAGGGTTTTCTTTTTTTCCATGAAAATAAGATATTCTGGCTTGAGGATGACTTTTTGACATTCTTTATTTCATATTTTAACTTATTAAAAAACTCCATTTTAGTATTAGGCAACTAGAAAATTGTTACCCATCCTATCTTACATCACAGTAATTGCAGGACAAAGGCTTCTGTATAGCTAGAGCCTCACAATCAAATTCCATTTTCTTATTCTTTTGACTATAAAACACGGTTCTAAAGTTAAATTTAAATCTGTTGATGTTCAGGGTTACCTACTCGGTGGTATGGCATAGGATGCTTTAGAGAGTAACATTCTCATTTAGAGTAAAAAGCTCATTTCCATATTGTGAAAACTCAGAAAACATTTCTAAATTGATATTTTCAGGTAAGGAGAGAAAACTGAGTGGCAAAATTAAATTATATTTTTAATTATGGTCCATAAGATACACTCTGGCATTCAACTAGTTCAGGTAAGATTACTATTAATTGCTAGTAACCTCTGGTCACAAGCCTTTTCTAGGCTAGAAAGGAAGGCAAGGAAACTTTACTCCCCATTTCCCTGACAGCAAGTATTTTACTTTTTGAAGTGTGAATTCTGGGCATTCCAAACATTATATATAAAGAAACATTTAAAATGTAATTCTTCCTAAAAGGTTACATTTGTTTTCTGCTTAAACTTTCAGTTAAAATAAAAGGTAGCAGGTTGTAACGCATTTTAACAATGCACACAAAGAAATCCAAGGGCAAAATTAAACATAAAAGATGTATTGTCCTTTTTGGTTCTTAACACATACAGCCCCAAAATAGCAAACTCCTAGTTACCTTTTTAAGCAGATTAAAATCAAGATTAACAAAATGTCCAAAGCATGTCAAATTATAGCCTCTAGTACTTAAAAATTCTGTTGGTTGTAAAACTCTGTTGGTGGCCATTTTGGCCTAGGATTTTTAATATAAATGAGACTAGAAATGACAGGGGGTGGGGGAAGGGACTTTCCTTCTTGAATAAAGGGGGAAATTTTTATCTAGAATGAGTTATCTCAAAGAGGAAAAAGAAAATTCAAAGTCAGGCATTGCCAAAATTTGAAAATATAACAAATTAAAATACAAGAATTAGTGCTATACTATTAAAGATTTTTAAAACTTTCTAAACATTCTGAAGGATGTAAATAGAATAACTATTTGGGAAAATTATTTAATTGCTAAATAAAAATCACATTTTTCTTTTTCCCATGCAGGTCTCCAAAGTAATAATCTAAAGTCCTTAAATTATATGACAATTTTGTAGCTATTAAAATATATTAAGAAAAATGGCATAGCAAAATAGCATCCCCGTACATATATCTATATAGAAATACAGGCAGTGTTTTAGAGTTTTATTAGTATGTACCCTTTAGAATGATGGTCTTAGTTTTTATTAATGTAGTAAGTCTAGTCAAGTTGGTTAAAAAGCTATTCTATTCAGATACCAGTTAAGGAGGCTTTATTTAATTTCTCATGAAGTTGCTGAGAGTAGTGAACACATCTCTTCTTTAATATTCTTCTTTTAGAATATGTTTTAAGAAATTTTTGATTTGGAACATTTCACAAGTCCACTTATACCAATCAATTTCACCACCTTTCTTATGTGTTTCAAAAATAATACTCTGTCTAACCTATAGGCTTTTAAAAAAAATTATTTTTAAAGAAAGTGATTCCTGGATAGATCTTAAATTGTATTTGCTAAACTTTAGATTGTGTAAACGTCCTTCTAGTCTTCCCGATCAGAAGGCAGATAACACGACTAAAAAGTTCTCAAATGTAAATAAACATGTCTAAACTGAATATACTAATTAGTTCCTCCCCCCAAAAAAGGACAGTTCATTTTGGATGAGAAATGGAAACTTTTGGTTGGAAACAGAAATTAACCAATGATTAAGTGCAGAAATGTCTAGAGTTTTAAGAAGACTTTTAAATCTATATACAGTAGCAATTCTAACCTAGGCTTTATAACTTGGTAATTGCTCTGACTAATGCCACATTCACATGTGAGGGCTACTGTGAGTCAATAGATGGCAGTCCATCGCCTAGGAAAAGAGCTGAAGATGACGAAACTCACCATGCATTCTGCTTTTATTCAAGATTAAATATTGCCTAATTGGAAACATTTGGATATTGCCTATATACATAATTATTTATTTTATTTTAGATGGATTAATATTTATGTACACATATTTGTAAATAAACAAATTTTGCATTTATATTTGCATGGTAAACTATTCCTAATTATTAATTTAAACTTGATAATTACAAATTGTGATAGTTGCTACAATATTATTTTGAAAATCAATCAGGATTCGAGATTGAGAAAAATGGATTTTTCAAAATGATTTTGTTATACTTATAGATAGAATATATTTCACTTTGTTTCACTAATTTTTTCCTAACTATTCTTTTTATAATTTGTTTTTTTAGAGTTACAATATTAAACAAACTTTCAAATATTTCTGTTATGCTAAATACCAATTTCTAGTCTTCTACAAGAGTTATATAAAAGAATATAGGTGAAAATAATGAAAAGAGTGGCTTTAAAATAGTACTGCCAACACTTAAAAGTTTTCAAGAGTAGAATTCTCTAATTTAGGGGAAAAGGGGAGAGAAATGCAATTGCAAATCCATTAGGCTATTACTTAATAAAAATACTGATAAAAATGCTATACAAAGAGTGACTGTGATCTTGAAAGTATAATATATGGTTGGATTCCAATCAAGTTTAGGCTGTAAGGATTTTACCATAGTATGTTAGGGTAAAAAAACTGATACATAAGCACAGATGTATTGTATCCACATAGGTTACATCTGTAAAATATGTATATGTGTAAAGTGTATATGTATTTTTTGTTTGTTTTATAGTAAAGATTTTACAAAAACCCAATTTGGGATTGAGGAATTACTTCTTTTTACTAAGAATCTTTAAATAAATTACACGGTGATAACAGAATGTAGAAACAAACCACCTGATGTTATTCTTTGCTTCTTGGGCCTGTGGTAGACATATCGCTAGTATAAGTCAACTTATTGGTTTACCTTTTATTTCCAAAAGAGGAGAGCAGTAAGAAGACATGTTTTATAAAAACTTTGCCTTTTCTATTTTTACTACCTGTCTTCCATAAAGAAAACTTTTTCATATGTTAAACTTTAAGAAAACAGCTTTTAATTACATTGTATAACTACATAATTACAAGAGAATTTTTATTGTTATCTCTTGCTCAGCACAACATATTTAATACACTAAAAGAAATGACTAGTGGGGCTATGGTGAATTCTCAAAATTATTTAAGCTGAATATTAGAAATAAACTGACTTCATAATACTGAGCATTAGTCAATTGATTCCATAACAAACTATCTTTTCTGCTTCTATTTAGCCTAAAATCACAATAAAAGGAAAGCAGGGAACTGAATAACGTGAATGGTATTAAGCAGATATTTATACACCTTGAGTTAGTCAAGAGGGGCTTAAGGATATGACAGATGACTTGTTCTCTATGAAAAATATTCTAAGCCTTGTTTAGCTTCATTTAAAAAAATATGTAAATATTTCAGTAAAGCCAGAAAATTGATAATGGAAGATACTGTTGACTGTATGCTTGTGGACTGTAGATAATACAACATATTAGACACTAGATTACTATTATTTCTTATGGTTCCTTGTATACTTTTCTCTCCTTAGCTGAATGTAGTGTGGGAAGACTGAGAGATACCATGGTGTTATCATTAAATGATGTGAGTAATAAAAAAAACAATCAAAATCTTCTAAGAACAGGAAGATAAAGGATAAGAGTAGTGGGCAGGGGAGAAGAGAAAAAAGTATATTATTGTTCTCCCAGTGCAAACTCTTCAGATGTTTATTATCTTCCAGTAGAAGATGCTTGTCTATATTTTATGGTCAGCAGTTCAGAGAAGGGTAAACAGGCTAGGTCTTGGGGAAAATAAAAAAGGTGTTTCTACTCAC